AAAAATATATTAAATTAATATTTTTTATTTTTTAAATTTTATTTTTAATATTAATACAATATAAAATCATAGAAAAATAAAAAATAAAATTTTTTTAAAATAAAAAACAAACACACTCTAAATAATACCATGATAAACTTGAATTTAACAAATTCAAAATTCATAGCTCAGCATATGTTGAGACCTTCCCGCTAATAAGTATACACAACTTATTTGAGTTCAACACTTTAATTCTTCTGTAATTTTTCAGAACTTATATATGGGTCTCTTAATATTTTGTATTAATCTAATATATATTATTTTAAATGAAATATAACTCAAAATATTACATAAAAAATGACACTTTAGCCTTTCTTTTTTACAAAAAAGATAAGACTCATAAGTTATAAATATCTCATAAATCCTTTAAATTTCAAACTTATAATTTCTTCATTTGCAACATTTTTAACATAAAATTTTTCAAAATCTATTTTTTTTAAATATTATTATACTTTCTCTTTCTAAAAATATCCTTACTTGCATATTTAAAAGTCCTAAAATTTATAAAATAATTTTTTTACAGATCATATTAACCTACCAGACACTAGGTAGCCACATAAAAAAAAAGTATTAAATTGCTAAAACCAAAAGATTAGCTGATTATCCAACATATAAACTTTACATTTAAATTAAATTGATTTTTTAAAACCTCACCACATCCCTAAAATATTTTTTTTTAGGATTTAATATATGAATTATTAGGTGTTTGAATTGAGAAATCTTTATATATTTGAAATGATCATTAAAAAAATTCTTTTGATCTTGTGAATTATAAAATTAACAATCATTTCCAAACTCAAATCAATCATAACAAATTGAGTCATAATTTCTAAATTTAAAATTTTCAAACATTCATATTACCTTTTGAATTTGGATATCGTGAAGTCTAAAATTGGTGTGAATAAACTTGTAAAAACAAAACCTTTTATTTGGCGATAATTTCACTAACAATTATAGCTAAAAACGTAGTAAAAAGAGTTCTAATTCTAATTCTTCATAGTTCATGCACTAAAACTTAAACTCATTTGATAATATGATCTTCTTAAATTTTAATGTTATCATTTATGTATTTGTTTCAAATCATATAATGATTTAACAAGTTTATATAATTTTTTTCTTATTTATTAACAAAAAAAAATCTTTTGGATTATTTCATGTAAATCTCTTCATCAAGATTACGATTTAAGAAAGTTATTTTTGCATCAATTTAAAGTATTTCAAGTTTGTTAATAGTTGTAATGGTTATTAATATTCTAATATAATTTATTCTTGGTATAGGTAAACATGTGTCAAAATAATCCATGTTTTCTTGTTGTTTGAAACATTTAACAACAATTTTAGCTTTATATTTGTGAATACTTCCATCAACTTTCATATTTCATTTAAACATCCACTTATATCCAAATAATTTTCTTCCATATAGAATATCCATGAGTTTCTATACATGATTATTCATAATAAATTCAATATCACTATTGATCATTTTCTTTCAATACGAAGTTTCATGATAGGAAATTACTTTAGAGCACATTCGAGATTCATTTTCTAATATGTTAGAAAATCAAAACCAAATATTTTAGTTATTTTTTCTCTTTTACTCATTTTAGGCTTAATATTATTATTTTTTTTTTATTGATGATGAATACTTGAACCAGCTTCAATAATACCTCATGAATGATTTTTTTTATGCTTAAATGAAACACAAATTTAAAGATTTTGCATTTCTTGATTTCATTATATTACTAGGAAATTGTAATGTTTTGAGTATATAAGGATAGGAAAAGGCTAGAAAACCCTTGAAGGCTTAGATGTAGGAATAAATTAAATGAGGGGTATAGTAATAATTGACTAAATATATGATAAATATAAATAAGGAGTTAAAAAAAAAACAACAAAAGAGGGATTTGGAAATTTGAGAGAGAATCGGTAGGAGAGAGAAGGGAGAAAGAAGAAGAAGAGAAAAGAGGGAAATTGGAAGGAAAATAGAAAAGAGTTGAAGAAATAAGTTTAAAGATAAGATTATGTATAAATATGTGTTAATTAAGCTTAAAACCGTTAATTTTTGGGTTTTTGAGAAAATAACTAGTTAGTTCAAAAACATATAGGGTTATGGAATACATTCTTAGATAAGTGTATTAAATAGGTTATATATTCTTTTGAGTTATTCTTGAATATGTCCGCTTTATATTTAGATAATCCTGATATTCTACCGGCGGGATGTTAGTAGGATTTTTTTCGGTATCTGCTTTTGACTTTTGTTTGCTTCGAGTCAGGTGAGTGAATAATTTTTCATATGCATGAGAAATATTATAAATATTTGATTTGTTAATATGAATTGAATCATGCTTCTTGATAATATATATGTTGACTATTATCCTTGTTATGATAAGCATAATCATTTGTTGAATCTGAATTCTTAATATGAACTAGTATGTATTTTGAATTGACTTCTGAATTGATAGCTCCTCATTTGATTGATGTCATGAGTTGAGTCTTGAGATATTAATATTCTAGTTTGATTATGATTATAAACCTATGGTATGTCAGTTAGAATACCCATGCTAACAGGGTAGTGGTAGTCTTTGTGCACATCGTATCTAAACCCTAGTTGGTCAGGGGAGTCACCAACCTGTGTGGACTAATCATCCCACAATACGAAGCCTCATGCTCATTGCATTTTGATTTTTTGATGAATTTTACCATATGATATTCTTGCTATGGCCTATTTGAGAAACCTTTTTATAAGAACCTAAAGCCATACTTGTGTGTGTATGTGTGTGTGTGTATTTCTCATTGTTGTATTATCTCATCTGTGTATATTGAATGTTATCTACTCACTGAGTTGTTGAACTCACACTCTCATTATTTATTATTTTCAGGCTTATAGCTTGATAATAGGTCACTTTTGTTGGACTTTCAGAACCTGCTCTTTTGGTTGTAATTCATACATTTTCCTTTATGCCTAATTAGTGCTCCAAAACTATGAAATTATATTAACTCTTGTATTAAGACAATTCAATTATATTATAAAGATGATTTTGTTATTAATGCTGCGTTGAACTCTGATTGAGTTAGGATAAGTTTGGGTTCGCATAGGTATGAAACCTTGGAAGGGAACCTTGCCTATGTGTCGATCATGGATCCGAGATTCGGGTCGTGACAAAAATGCTTTTAATATTTGGCATATATACAAGAAATTGATATGTATTGATATTATAAACATGTATGATAAAAACACAATTCATAATTTCAGATTTTATATTAATATTTTCGAGATCAAGTATTGTTATTTTTGCAAAAGACTCCCACACTTTAAGATGTTTATAAAAGGGTTTTTAACATTTTCATGATTTATATGATGTATTTTCTAATTTTTAATAAGATATTTTATTAAGTATATAATTAACAATAAACCCAAACTACTCTGTATAAAATTATTTATAACTTTTCAATTTTTTGCTATATAAATTAAATAACAATCTTGTGTTTTTTCTATGCGAAAATAAAGGGTTTTAGGTTTTACAAAAACATATTAATCATGAGTTTTTTTAAATCAATTTTTTTATTTACCTTTAATTTATTTTAATCATGTTAATGTTTTATATTAAAGAATTTTTGTTAGAAAATCATTCTCAATAAAATTTTAGCCTTAAAAATAAGTGTAATCCATTTTTAATTCAGCATAAAATATACATATTAGCCATGATTTAAAATGAATTTTTTAATAGCAATTATCTTTCAATTTATTCCCGTGTTCACTAATATAATACTTACTAGTATCCAATCTTGTTAGGTAAGTAAGTGTTTTGCTTTTGTTCCTATAAAGGACCGATCTTTTATAGTTAATTACATGCAAATATGGATCATGTATCCAAATAAAATGGATCTAAAAAATCCTTTAAAAATACAAAAAAAAACTCAAGAAACATGAATTTAGACATATAGCTCGAACCCATGCTCCTTGTATGGGCACGTGGATGCATAGTGCATAGTCAAAATTCCCAAACCCATTAGATGTGAAAGTGGGTCCAAGCACGCTGTTTGGCTTGGACATTGGGCATCTGCCCATGCAAGGTATAGCCCCCAGCACAATTGTGGGCTCGGGTTGTCATGCTTGAGGCCATTTAAATCTAGGCAGAGTGCATGGATTTACTTTTACTTTCAATAGGCTTGGAAACCCTACTCAAGCCCAATACTTGCCATATAATATCATTACACTTTTTTTTTTTACGAAGTTAGAGAATCTCCATATCCATAAAAAAAAAAAAAACTTTTTGTAGGTATTAGCTCCATATCACCTAACTTATTAAGTATCACATATTATTGTACTTGAGGTGTTGGCCCAGCGGTGGGAGGGACTTGTTCCCTTCCTCTGCACCAGGATTCGAACCTTACTGTGCACGTTTGTCACCCCCGTGGTGCCTTACATGCTCATTAGACTTGCAGGATGTTCAGTGAACCGTGAGATTAATCGTAATGCGTGCAAGCTGGGCCGAACACCCATGTAAATAAAAAAAAAGTATCACATATTATTACTACAGTTATTAATCACATACCTTATTAAATATTATATGCTACCACTTACCATATTGTTGAATGAAAAAATCAATCAATTATTCATAATATTATCCTGTAATTTGCAAATTATGAATTCAACAATTGATATTTGAAAAAAAAACATTATTAATGAACCTTTTGTTTGGAATAAGACAGATTCGATTGGTCAAGACATCCTTGTTCTATAATCGGATCATTGAACAAGATTCAGAAAGGGAAAATTGAAATGACAAGGAAATAAAGCAAAAGAGTAATAACAATAATAATAAAAGTAAAATATATGTAACTCATCCAACATTATCCCTATAGTATTAGAAAAGTTTCAATTTTATGTCTAATAAATTTTTTATTGATTTCAATTGGAAGGGCATAGTCAAAATGGTTTTTGAGAATCAAGGCTAAATTCATCTCCTATCCTATTATGTTTGAGCATTTATAATAAATTACTTTCTTACAAGCTCTCATACAATTTTGAACTTTGGATAACAATGTGAGAGCATTCTCCATACTAATTATATTAAATCCTCAAGAATATTTAATTTAAGAATCAAATAACCTAAAAATTTAGTAAAAAGCCCCGTTTCTTAAGTTTTATTTCATAAAAAAAAATATAATATGTACACAAAGAATCTGAAACAAGAGAAAAATAAGAAAAAAAAACATATAAAAATGTACTACAGGCATTACATTGGAACTTGTGGAAAACTACAGGGGCAAAATTAAAAAATGGAAAACTATAAGGATATAGGTGAAACATTAGAATATACGGAGGGGTGAAGTTGACCAAAAGAAAACACAAAGAAACCAAAGAGGGAGCAGGGTCGCAACGTGGCAGGTTAGGGTTTTTTCTGAGGACCTAAAAATCAGCAGTTGGCAGTCAAAGCCCATAAATGTAATTAAATTAAAGAAATCACCCTCAACTTTCAAAAAATATAAATAAATTCCCCTGAACTTCTCTTCCTTATTCCCGGCTAAACTCCGACCGTGTCCGACTCCGTCTCTGTTTCTGTCCATTGTCTCCCTTTGTTTTTGTTTTTCTAATAATAATCTTTTTTCTTTAACAACGTTGTCTGTTCCTCATTTGCCCTTAAGAGAAAGAGAGAGGTTCTGGTAGCATGAGGAAGAAACTCGACACTCGTTTCCCTGCCGTAAGCTATTCCTTTCTCTCTCTGTTTTTTTTTTTTCATGTTTTTTGAACAAAACATCGCCGGTTGTCTTTTTTTTCTTTCCCTTTTGGTTCTATCGATTTTTAGAAA